AGGTGAGGGAGGTGGGACCGCCATGTTGGCGTGTGAGGGCCGGGGTGCGGCACTGCCCGGTCCTCCCCCGGCACGGAGCTCGCTGGCAGCCGCCCGCCGCCGTCTCGAACGGGTCTTGTCCTTTCTGCCCCGTCCAGACCTGCCGGCTCTCATCAATGTACGCAAATGTCTAAAGGTGCTGAGAGGATGAAGTCAGGCTCTGCTCGGTTGTGCCAAGCAATGGGACAAGAGGCGATGGGCAGGAGCTCATCCGTAGGAAGTTTCACCTGAACATGAAGATGAACTTTGCTGTGCGGGTGACGGAGCACTGGAACAGATTGTCCAGAGAGGCTGAGGAGTCTCTATCACCAGGAATATTCAAGAACCCCCTGGAATCCTGTGCAAGGTCTCTAGGATGGTCTTGCTTGAGCAGGGGGGTTGGACCAGCTGATCCACTGGGGTCCCTTCCAACTTGACCCATTCTGTGATCCCCTCCAAAGCAATAGCAGGGACCTGGAGGCTTCTGTTTAATATATTCTCTAGTTTATGTGGATTATCAGGCAGAATATCTAAAGTGTTGTTGAGGTGCTTCTCGCCACACTAATTAATGGCAATAAATGCCCGGTGCAGGTTGGGTGCCTGCATCCCGCATTCCTTCCTAAGCGGCTGTTTGGGAACTGGACACCCAAAGCCTGAGCAAGGAGACAAAACCCTCATCAGATTGAAGACCCCAATTAGCCTTTGTCATTATTATATTTCTCATTAAAGTAACAGGCATGGGATAAATGGCACTGGCATAGTCGTGAATATTAAAGATACTTTAGTGTTTGTGTCCAGGTCCAGGCCCCTCAGTTCCGGAAGGGCATAAAGGGGCTGGAGTGGGTCCAGCGAAAGTCAGTGAAGCTGGCAAAGGGTCTAGAGGATAACAAGGAGAAGCCAAGGGAGCCAGGGTTGTTTAGCCTGGAGAAAAGGAGGCTCAGGGGTGACCTTATCACTCTCTACAAGTGCCTGAAAGGAGGGTGTAGTGAAGTGGAGTTCAGGCTCTTTTGGGCAGCCTGTGACAGGACTAGTGTCAAGCTGTGCCAGGGGAGGTTAGGCATCAGGAGGAATTTCACGAGGAAAGAGCAATTAAACATTAGAATGGATTGCTCAGGGAGGTGATGGAGTTGCTGCCCCTGGAAGCAAAGACTGGACATGGCACTTAGTGCCATGGTCTGGTTGACAGTGGTGCTTAGTCATGGGCTGGACTTCATGATCTCAGAGGGCTTTTCCAAGATAACGGATTCAGTGATAATTTGGATACTACTATACATAGTATTTAAGCATTCACTTTTGCTACAATGTATCTTGGTAGGCTCAACAGCTACTTCTGACTCTTGGGCATGGACTCTGTGGATATAGTGTGCAGAGGAGGCAGGTAGGGTTTATTTTTTTTGAACCCTCATAGTTATATTTATAACAGGAAGTGGGATGAGGTTAGAAGGTACCCCAGAGGTGTCCCCTTTAAGCACCAAAAGGTTCTTTGTGTCTCCGTCCCTTGGAGTCAAGCTACAGGGACAGTTACCCTTAATGGCCATCACGGACTTGCACTGTGCTTCTCCTGTGTCACTGCGGGGCTCCTGTCAGTCACAGCTTCCACAGTGATAGGCAACAGTTATCTGTTGATATGGGAACACTTTCTTCTATTATTTCTCCAGACATGGTTCTTCAAGATTTCCCCCTCTCCCCACTCCTTCCTCATTTATTCCTGTTAAACTTCACCTTGTTTTTCTGCTTGTGACAGTGAGTGTAGATACAGTCAGTTCTGATTAAGAGATTTTAGCTTTTTTGCCTCAGTTTTTGCCGCATTGCCAGCAGACAACACTTGTCAAGACAGCCCAGAGTGTCTCATGCACACTGCACCTATGGCGTGCCTCTTGCACGTTAAGAGAAAGGTTTAAGGAGGAAAGTTGTCCCAGGAGAAGTCAACAGCTAAACGGATTTAGTGGAAGCAGGATTTCTTAGCAGTCTTCTTGCAGTGGCCTCCAGTGACAATGTTCTCCCTAACTCTGCTGTCAGGCCCCTCGGAGAGGTCAGGTTTGTAGGTAAGGAAAGATTTAACACAGGGATACAGCTGGGAAGAAACACACTCTAATACACACCAGCTCTGAACATCTTGAAATCACAGCTTTTAATAAGCCAGGCCCTGTAACATGAAGGATTCTGAAAAGGAAGAGGATTATTTCAGGAATTTGAAGAGCAGGATGATTCTTTATATTTTGTAATTGAAGTTCTGAATATTCCAAATTATGTCTAATAACTTACTATTTATCACGTCTTCTCCAATTCATCTTCACTCAGCTCTGATCTTCAGGCTTTCTTTTAGACATATATATGAAAGAATCACACAATCCTTTTTCTTAAATATCTTATACCAAGTCCCTGCATTTGTTGTATCTTCTTTTGTAAGAAAGGGCTGTTGGACAAGACCTGTACGTGTTTGCAAATATCTGCCAGTTGCAATAGCAAGTCCTCCTAATGTGTATATATTAAAAAGTGTAAGTATTTATTTATGTTGGCATTCTATTTATTTATATGTGCATATATATGTAAAAACCATGCTGTTTTGGTAAGAAATAAAACCTATAAATGGAAGAGCGCTGTGCTACAAGTGTAACTGCATATTCTCTCTGATTTTATCAAGGAAGTCATTAAAAATTTATGCTGAGTGACCAAGCCAGAATGGCCACTGTGGACCTGATGTGGGTGTCCATGTCCCGGTTTCCCAGGCTTGGCCTGTTTATTGCCAGCACCTGAGCAGGAGCAGGCTTGCTCCAGAGCATGTCACAGCAGGATGGGCACCACGCTGAATTTGCACTGCCTTCCTGTAGCTTTTCTTCAACGAGCATGTCAAAACCTATTTAGCTTCAAGAGTGGCAGCCCTGGTATCCAGCTGCTCCTCTTCCACATCATGACATCTAGAGGACAGTAGTAAGAGTTTGCTTTATCCATCATGACGTGATTTTACCACAGGACTCATTTACCTGACGGGTACTTACAGTAAGCTTTGTTATAACTTCCATCATCATTTTGCCATGTCTGTGGCTTGCAAAATAATTTATCTTTTTCCATTTTTAGGGGGCAGACAAAGCAATTTTTGTCAGCTGGCCTTTTTTTTTTTTTTCCAGTATGGATTATTTTTAAAAAAGGAACTTAAATAAAATCTCTTATTAATAATCAATTGCTTATGCGTGTGGAGGTTAGTGAAGGAAAGGAAGAGACCTGCCCTTTAATACAATTCAAACACATAGTCATGCAGTCAAAAATGTTGACATTTCTCCTTCAAAAATATTGTGGTAGCATCACTACTTTCCTCTAAGGAAAGAGGAGCACGTTTCTTGCATAATTGTTTCTTATATTATACAATTGTTTCTATGTTATACAAGTTTCTTGTATCATTTACATTCTGCTGGGATCTCTGGTCTCAGGGAGGCAGGCACGCCATCTGCTGTGGAAGATACAGAATAAAATCCAATACCATTTGAGAGAATAAAAGTGTGTGAGGCAAAAAACCCAAAAAACTCAAAACACTCCTAAAATATTACCTCTCCTGGAATTTTGGTTTTTCAGGAAAGAAATTACCACAATTCAGGCTTTTAAAACAAATCTCATTTTGAAGAAAATAAACATGGTACAGAGATGGGCAGTTTTTCTATGCTTCTTTTGCCCATTTCTAGGCTGAATCATTAGAAGTCCAAGGGAGCCAACTGTAATTTGTAATTTCAAGGAGAGTTGGGAAATTTTCAGGAGGAATAAAATGTATCTGCTCTCAGAGTAGTCTCAGCATCTCATTCCTGCCTTGTTCACTACCTTCCTTTAGCAGACTAGATTAAGTAGAAGTAGACCAGGGTTTTCTCTCTGCTTTTGGCTTCAAAAAGCAAACTCTTCAAGTCTCTATTTCCAGTCCTTGGAGACCCAAGCCCAGCAATACAGCAATCTCCTACCAAGCTTACAGCTGTAAGGAGATGTAGATAACCTCTCCACTTATCATACCAGGGAGACCTGGCTAGCAGAGGAGAAAATTGGGATTTGTGGCATCCCCATGTCAGGCTATGGAAGAGAGGAGAGAGTATGGCCAGCCCCAAAGGGACCTGTGAAATTACAATCCTTTTGCCAGATTCCACAGTGTGAAAATCTCAGCAGCACTTTGTTTGTCTAGTATATTCCAAAAGAGAATCTAATAGAAGAAATGCTTTATATGTTATTAAATTAAGCTCTGTCTCCTTTGCCACTCTAGTTTAAAACCCTTTAGCCCCTAGGTGGCACTGTACAATAAAGCAAGGCATGTTTAAACATGGCATGATCATTAAGAAAGCGTCATTAAGGTTGGAAAAGACCATAAAGATCAACCTGTGGCCAAACACCACCATGTCAACTAAATCATAGCACTTAGTGCCATATCCAGACATTTCTTGAACACTTCCAGAGATGGTGACTCCAGCACCTGGAGCAACAGGTTGTACCAATGCTTGACAACCCTTTCAGTGAAAAAATTCTTCCTGATGTCCAACCTGAACCTCCTGTGGCACAGCTTGAGGCCATTTTCTTTTGCCCTGTCACTTGCTGCCTGGGAGAAGAGACGAACCTCCACCTGGCTACAGCCTCCTTTCAGGTGGTTGTAGAGAGTGATAAGGTCCCCCCTGAGCTTCCTCTATTCCAGGCTAAACACCCCCAGCTTCTTCTGCTCCTCACAGGACTTGTGCTCCAGGCCCTTCACCAGCTTTGTTGCCCTTCTCTGGACTCACTCCAGCACCTCAATGTCTTTCTTGCAGTGAGGAGCAGAAGACTAAACACAGAACTTGAGGTGCCGAGCACAGGGCGACAATCACTGCCCTGGTTCTACTGGCTGCACTATTTCTTTCACAGGCCAGGATGCCATTGGCCTTCTTGGCTACCTGGGAACACACTTGCTCATGTTCAGCTGGCTGTCAACCAACACCCCCAGGTACTTTTCTGCTGGGCCAGTGGAGTTCTTGTTTACAATGTAAATTAGCCTAAGTATGTTTTCAGTGTAGCTATTAGTCTCAGTTTGGTACTCCTCATTTTTTGAATCTGTCTCTCAAAGTCAATAAAGCATACTGCTGTGAATATCATTTAAATATAGTGTTTTTACTTTCAGAGTGTTATTGAATGTATTTTCCTGGAAAATTATAGTGCATTGCATGTATTTGTTCTGTCTGGGCTAGTGAATAAACCAGCAGAGGCTGTATTTTTACTTTAGCAAGTCATTTAGAGCAGCAGGATCAGATTGACAGCTGTAAACTGCAGCAACTGCGGTTCCTCACAGCTCCAGTATATTCTCACACAGAAGTTATTTTGCATCTGGTGGGAATTGGCCCAGTACTGCACATCATCATCACCTATTTTTAAACTCCCTGAAAAAAAAGCTCTCTCACAAAACTTCCTTGACCATGGGACCTCTAAGGAGCACCAAGTTCCCCTTTCACCTGTCTCACATACATATGTTTCACACCAGTCTCCACTATGTACATAAAAACTTCACAGGTGGAAGGAAGCCCTCTTTTCTCACTCCTCCAGTTTCTGAGTGACACTGTTTTACTTGTTTCATATCCTGCTCTTCACTCTGGTGCTGGAACATGGATTGCTTGATGGCACAGGGGAGGAGGAATAGCCTTTGCCCTCCAGGCACTGTAGCAGTGCCAGGAAAACACCTTGAGTAGACCCTTCTTACCCCTTGCTTTCACATACAGAAAAAAAAGAGACAGGATATTTTTTCTGACAGTGTTTACCACTGTGACAACTTTGTTCACAGTCAGATAGAAATGCTGAGCCTAGGAGACAAGTTTAGACAGACAGGATGTTGGGATGTGGAAAGAACAAGTGGGTGCAAAACTTCTGAGAGCAAGGGGATAGATACCAATGAGAAACAGGGAACTGTGGAGTATAAGGGATTTAGAGGAATGATGCCACAATATCCTCAATAAATTTCTGTAATTCCCTTTTGAGAAGAGGTATTCTGCTTTTCTTCACATTCTAGTACCTGGTAAATAGCTCCATCATGTACCTCCTCTTTTATTGTTAAAGATCTCATCTGATTTTCCTTGTATATGGTATTATGTGTTGTCTCTTCATTTGACTCTCAAAATTGCATCATTATTTTTTCCTGGTAATGGGTTTAAGTCCAGAGATCATCCAAACTGTGCCATATAAGTCATTCCTAGGAAAAGAAACAAAACATGGTTTTGTATAATCTGCAGAAGATTATACATTTTTCTCTTCTGGTGTTATCTAGAAGAAATCTGCCCACCCAATTACAACTACTCTGGCTAACAAAGAAGTTGTGGGAGGAGAACTATTCACGTGTCAACATTTTGGGTTGTTTACCTTCCTGTAGAGAAGGCCAGCATAAACCTTACAGAACTTTGGTTTCCAGTTCAACTCTCAAATTGACAGCAGTACCTTTATTTCAACAAAAGTATGTTAAGACCCAATCCATAACTTGCAGAGGGGCAAAATTTCCAGTGTTACCCTGTTAGGAGAAAAAGATCTCTAAAACATTTTGTGATTACATCAGTGCCTTTTAGTGCAAGCAAGAATTGATTTATTCCTAGCAGGAGGATATCTCTATGACATATGTGTTTATGTCCAATGGGTCAAGCACTACTTTATGCCCTTCAACATTGCAGAGCTTTGACCCTTTTTAAGACACAGAACTAGAAAGCAAATGTACCTATGTTGAATCAGAGGTTTTGAGGAAACATTTGTTCTTTCAGACCAGCCTTAAGAATTCTTCCTGTACTGGCCCAAGCTGATATGCACACTTAGCAAGAAAGTCTAATACTGAATGGTTCCTTGGTTTACAACAGCTAGGAGGCTGGAGCTTATTAGGAAATTGTCTCCAGGCACTGAAGAAGTAAATTCATACTAATGACTTGTTTGTTGTAGTTATTATTCTCAGCATTTCTCCAGACATTCAGAAATACATGATTTCCCTCTTGAGAAGTATAAAGCAATTTTTTTTCACTAAAGAAACAAATTATTTTGCTGATAAAGCCTATATGAGATGTTGCAAAAGCCAAAGAAACGTATTCAGTACAGTTTTCCTACCTTGACATTGTGCAGCAGAATTTTTATATATGTTCTATTTATTCTTCTTTTTTTTTTTTTAAGCTCTCATAGGCATTCGAGTGAATTTGAAGTATTTTTTCCTCCAAAACTTTTAGGAACTTAGGGACATAAGACTGCCATGCAATTTGTTGAAAGATGTTAAGTCTATGGTGATGGAGTTGCTTTTTTAAGAAATAAGAGGGGGTTTTACCTATTATTTGCCTAGAGTTGTAGGTCTCTGTAAAACTTGCATCTAAATGTCTTCATGCTGCACATCATACAGAAATATCCCTTTTTTGTTTGTTTATTTGTGAAAAGCAACAGGACAGCTACTATTGTTCTCTGTGTGAGTCTCTAAGGTTCTGACTCAGTCTCTAGTTCAAGTCAAAACCTCAGGTTTTAATGATATATTATTAAATACAAAGGGGGTTTTGTTGGTTTTTAAATTAAATTTTAACTTGCTGTGTTACATCCCAGGAACAAAATACTGCATGTGATCCTGGGTGAATGCAGGACAAAAATCCTAACCTACATGTTTTCTTTATTTATAAAGATTAATGTAGACTTAATTTTATTTCAATTGTTTGTGTTGGCTCTTTTAGTTCCAAATAGATTTGACTGTAGTAGTAATTTCTGAAAGCTATTTTAGCTTCTTTCTATCTGTCCTTCCTGCCTAATCTAAGTTAGTTGTAAATGCATGTGGCTTCAAAGCAAGGAGGAAAAAAAACATAATGAAAATAGTCAATGTGCTCCAAAATGTTAAAAAGATGGAAAACTATTTAAAGAACAAAACGTGTCTCAGGAGCTCAAGAATCACTGTGGACTGACATATGGAAATCGTATGTCAGCATATGCCTGTGCTGCTTCTGCAGCATATCTCCATTTGCTAAATTCTATTTGTGTCCAAAGTTGTAGCAAGAAGATCAAGCTTCAATGCAGTTAGAAAATGTACAAGCATGATGACAGGTTTAATTTTTAATTTTCTGTAGAAGTAATTCTGCATATTTTTATTATTTCCTTGCTCCTTTTTCTGATTTCAGAGACCATTTGACATTTCAATTTACCCATCTCATCCCATGTTAAATTCTCTGTATCAGGAAAATTTGGACCACCTCCAAGATTAACAAATATTTCTTTAAGTTTTTTTTTTTTTGGGGGGGAAGATTCAAAAGATGCAGTACATAGAAACATGTAGAATTAGAAGAGGGGAAACATGTTCAGTTTCCTGCTCTAAATCTAGTAATTTAATGAGCTAATCACTGAGTCAGTGTGTGTATTTGTTTCTGGTTTCTAGAACCCAGAAATCCCATTCTGAACTACAGTAATCTCCCCTTGGAAAATCTTGATGAAGTTAATATATTTTTAGTTTCAATTAAAATATTAAAAAGTGGTGCAAAATTTCAGCTGCAAACTAACTGTGAATTATGAGCTAATCCGAATTCTCATGTTGTTTCATAAGAAATACTCCTTCCTCCATCCCAAAGTTGAAGACATCTGTTTATTTCAGTTTTATAACCCATGTTAAAGCTGACAAACTACATATTTGACTCTTCTGGCTACTAGAAAAGTAGATTATTAGTAGCTGCAAATAATGCTGACAATCAACAGTAAAAATATTGTATTTTAAAAGTATTATTGTATTTTAAAGTATTATAAAAGTACTGTATATGGGTCTGAGATTCCTTCCATTACTACAGTGTGAATGGAAAGCATTTTACTGAAGGATACTTGACATGACATGGCATGGCACAGAAATAGGTTAGAGCAAGAAAAGATTCCAAGGGTGACATTGTGTTATTTGGGTTTCACAGATAAAGTAAATGGAGCAGGTATTTCCTTTCTACACACAGCGAAGATTTTTATTTCCAGGCAGACAGGCAGGGAGTGGATTCTCCTGTCAAGATAAACCCAAATATAACTCTGCCAAAGGAACGTCTCTAGATACTCCAGATGAGAAATTCCCCCACATTTCTCAGTCTCAAGCATGGATGAATGCCAGCAGATCGGTGAAGCAATCATTTAATCATTCAGTTCCATTAAATGGGATATAGGGTAGTTCCATGTGTCAAGAGCCAGAAGGAGAGCTACTTTGAACATATACAGGCCTTGAGATTAGAAAACCGCCACAATTTCTGCCCAAGGACTGTTGCACTGAAACGTCTTAGAGGTTTCTATCATAACCCAGCACTGTGGTGGTGGTTGAGGAGAGGCTGTGCAGTGGTAACTGCAGTTTCTGCTTCACTGCATTACCTTGTAATGACATTAGCACATATTTTACATTCTGTGAGGGGAACGCTTCCCTCCTCCTCCTCCTCCTCCCTGCCGCTTAGAAACAGTGAAGAGATGAGATCTGACACTTGAAAATGCTATAGCACTGTGACCTCACTGGGGTATAAGATGGTCTTAGTGGAGGCAGAAAATTCAGCTGCCTGAAGTACTTTTGCTTTGTCCAGCTGGTGTCCTACTGTCTGCAAAGCCGCTTCCAGACAGCAGTGCTTTGTTATTCACTTGACTTTACTAGCCCTTGTCAGAGTTAATTGGATTTGTGACATGCTCAGATGTTTATTTCTTGATTCTGTTGTCCCTTGCCTTACAGAACACAAATGCCAGGGGAAACAACAGTATATCTAGCAAATACTAAACTATGAAGAGATACATAGAAATGCTGTCTAACTTTTTAGGAGATAAAATTTAAGGAAATGTGTGCTTAAAATATTTTCCCCTCTAATTTATGGCAATACTTAGCTCTGGTTTATCACAATAATTAAAGCAGTTATAAAACCTTTTGTTTAAATATATCCACAGCTCTATAGACATATCTAGAAATATCACATTCATTAATATGGTCATGAGTAAGTGCCCAACTAAACCTTATCATAGTTGAATGCTATTTTGGGGAAGAAAGCACATAAATCCCATAAACACAAGTTACACTTCTAGTAAAATCTCTTAGTTTATTAAGTATTTGAGAAACTTACACTCTTCATAAAAGCCACTGCCTACAGTCATAATTTTATTATACCTTCCTTTATGTAATAACTTTTGTTTTGTATGTGAAATTATATATAATATTAGTTATACAACTAACTTTCTAATCTTTGCTTCTATTACTGATGTAGTATTTTGCTGTAAATGCTTTAAAATACAATGAAAAAAATTATTTATCAAGTCAATGATACCTCTAAATTATTTAAATTCAAAACAAATAAAGAAGAGGACTTAATTTACAACTGCTACAAAAAGCATAAGTTTTGGCATGGAATCCCAGAGAAGGTTTTATTCTGAAATGCAGTCTCCCTTCTTACAGAAGTTTTGGTTGGATGAGAGTCCCACACGTGGTCTTAGAGAACAGATAAACACACACACACACACTCACACCACTCTGGAAGTCACACTGGATACAGCCTTTTCTTCAGGCTTGAAGCCTGAAACCACAGCTTTGTGTACAAAGAGTGTATAGAAATACCTGAACATTCATTCATATGTCAGCATGAGCTAAATTTCATAGATGTTATAAGATAGTAACAGCAGGAGGACAGGGAGAGAGACAGATTGACAAAGCAGTTAAGCATGGGCTTAACTTTAAGTTTGTATCCAAATCCTCATGAAGTCAACAGCTATGCCATTGGAGCTATGCCAGGATGTAGCTGAAGATGTGACCATCACAGTCTACTTTATGTAAGCATGTTGTTATTAAGTTTGTAAACAGAAATGGAGTTAGGCAGTTATTGGTAATTGGTAAGTGTTGTGAAAACCATGTTGGCAAAATTTTTATATTGGCTAGTGCAATAGAGAGCAATAAAATCAAAGAGAAACTACTTGTCATCACGTCAGCAAGAAACAGTGTGTACTATTTATTTATATTTCATTCTAATTTTATTATTAACAGATCCCCAGTGCTTTCCAATACACATAAAGCTGCAGTGGCGCAGGGGCAAATCAATCAAGCTTGGTTTCATTTTGGGCAACTATTTGGAAGCATCTGCAAAATTCACAACAAAGCTAACCTCCACTCCAACATATTGTACTAGCTAAGAAACAGGAGAGGAATGTTTTCTTTTTTTTGTTTTCTTTTTTTCCTGTTTTTTTTTTTTAAATTATAGTGCTTCCACCTTTTGTACTGATTTTGATGGGCCTTTGGTTCCTTAAATAAGTCAGTGTTTAGTCCTTCACTTCTGACACTGAGAGGTAACATTGTATAAGCCAAAATAATATCTACCTAGACTCTGAAACTGTTACTCTACCCCGCTAGGAACTCCGGGAATGGATTTACCGCCTTTAGTGGGCCAAGGTCTGAAATAAAATCACTAAGCAAATTTGCTGAAAAAGTTACTAAGCTGAAGAAATTTTACCAGAATGTCATCCTCTATTGTATCACTGTTTCTATTTGCCAAATCAATTACAAGATGTTCTTAAGCTTTCCTGTATTATGTTAATTAAAAATTCTTCATTACATTTCCTTGAGGGCAGTCATAAAAAAGGTGTCATCTCCAGACAACAGTCTATAAAATATCTGGTGTATCACAGTTCCTTCATTACATTCACATGTGTCTTTCAATATCATTATTTAGTTTCCATGAAGTTGAGATTGATTGATTTATTTATGTGGCATCTAGTAGCAATCTACAAGCAATACCTAGAGCAGAAACCCTGCCTATTATTGTGTAATTGATTTATTTTTGGAGTAGAGCTCCATTAGGAAAGATAAGTTTTCTAGCAAGCTATTCAAAATGCAGTAAAATATTAAAGAATAATCAGAAAAAGGAAGAAAAATTGCTTTGTGCACTTTTATTATTTATTAACCTGAGTTGGCACTTACTTTTATACAAAGAGTTACACACACCCCGGAATGCTCCATGCTCTTAAATTGTACTTTTCTCAGCCCTAAAAAGATAGGACAAAAAATACTAAGGTCAACAACCATGTACACACCAACATAAAGCTTATCAGCTTCTATTTATTCTTACAGGTCTTTCACAATACATTATTAACTACCATGAATATTTAACTGATTAAAAACTAGTCCACAAAACATTGCTGATGTCTGATTGAATCTCAAATAAGATTAGATATTATTGGGGGGGAGGGGCAGGGAAGAATGTCTCCTAAGATAAAAGGGAAACACAAAACCTCAACTAAACCTAATGCTAATGTCAGAAGCCAAATTCCAACTTAAAAAACAACATTCCTCTAGACATGCTGTTTGCATTTCGTGAACCTTTCTCGGAAGCAGGACTGATAGAAAGTGATGTGTTAAAGGCATCCATCCCTGTCTTCAGGTACAAGGCCTTCCTTAGTGACAGAAATAGGATGTCCACTTACAAAACAATTTCTTAAAGAACTACTGAAAGCTGGCACAAAGTAAAACATTTCCAGGCCTGGAAGTTCCTTAGCTTCCAGCCCTGCCAGGAGGCACAGCACATCACCCGAGGGTGACAGGGACCCTTTGGGAGGGAGTCCATCTGGACACCTGCTCAGGGACCTGAAGCCCTGCAAGTGCTGCCAGCCCTGACGCAGAGGCAGCTGCAGCTCTTGGAAGGCTGGGCCACCTGCCAAGTGGATGGGTAGAGAGCTGGCAGGCAACCAGCAAGTTTCTGGCAAAAATCTGACAAGCTTGGGTTCCACAAGATTTCTCTTGTAAAATACAAGAATGCTACTTTCTCTTCACAACAAAATACTAAATATGTTAGGAAGTGTATTTTGTACAAGTCCATCTACTCTGTCCAAAAATACATATTGAGTAAAATTTAACTTGACAGTTAGTGGTGAAGTTCAGATAAAAGCAAACATTAAGGAATATATGCCTAATTAGAAAAATTTGTATTGAAATAAATAGAACCACACAGTTTCCCTGGTATGTCTGTGTCATCTGTTGCTTGAGTAGTGCAATGCAGGGCGCAGTAGAAATTCTGCAATTCTAAGAAACATTGAAGTATCACAAACAATGTATCTGCTTACCCATGGCACTTCCTCAGGTAGACCAGGGCCACACACAGGCAGACATGGACTGGAACAAGGGGTTTAAATGTAACTCTCCCAAGTTTTTGTTTACTTCCCTTAGCTAGAAATAGTAAAAGCACAGTGTGATTTCCTAATATAGCTCAGTATGAAGTTGTCTCAGCACAACTTTTAATCCATATTTTAGACATAAATTAGCACATATTAATGTTAATGGAGTTATATTGCTTATTGTGTCTTAGCTAGAACCTTCAGCTTTGGTTGCTCCCATACATATTTAGAAGAGCAGGAAAATCTACAGCCCTCCTACTGCCAAATAGCATAATAATTAAGTAATTAATCAGCAACTACTTAGCTCGTGGGCTAGCTAAGCTAAAGAATTGTAGCAGCTATAATTTTGGGGATTGAAGGCTGAATCCACACTGATGGATCCAATATTCTTTCTGCATTTCTGTCAGTGCTTTAGACTCTGACAGGGTGGCTGGCAAGCCAACCCAAGTTCATATTATTCAATATTCATATATTGTTTTACAGTCAGGAGTTTGCTATAACGAATGCTGACAGAGTAGTCCCTTGTGAGTACCTACATCTCAATGAATTTCATTTTCAATATTCCCCCTTCAGCTTTAAACAAATGCAGGTTTCATGCACCCAGCTAAGTATTAATTGGCCTGATGCCTATCACTTGGGGGGGAAAATAACTTTATGCCATGTTACATTCCTCCAGCTCTTATAAGTGTGGGAACAAGTTTCAGCTGTTACATGCACTTCTGCTTTTTTTGTGCAGGAACCTAAACAATCTGCTAATGAATGTAGGCATCACTGTAGCAGGGAATCACTGTCCCATTCTGTCCTTTGACAGCAAGAAAACACTGGAGTTTATGGTATCCTTTTGCAGCCAGAAATTTCTGTTGTACCCGTGTAAGACTTCCAAGGAAAATGTCTGCCAAAAGACAATGGAAAGTGCAAAGTCTTGTCTCAAAGTTTCCATCTTATATATTGCACTATTTAACTTCCTTGATCAAGGCAGGAAGGTGGTGAAGTTCACAGGTGGTGAAGTTCAACTCTTCCTCCTTGACAGCCAGCAGGAATAGAGGTAGCCAGTACACATATTAACATGCTGCTGTCCCTTGCATCCTCTGGACCATTGAGAGAAACTGTGAATTCCCCATGAAGCTTCCACTGTGAGGAATCTCATATGTGTGGGTGCCTTCCTAACAGTACCTAGCAGCATCCAGCATACATGCTTATACTATATTGGAATATAACAATTTTGTAAATGTGGGAAAGAGACACATTTTCTGAAGTCAATGAGTACAGCTAGAAAAAAACCATAGCAAACAGGAAGGGCTGCACAGCAGACACATGTATAAACCAAAGCCTTTTCTTCAGAGAAGGACACCTTCATTTCATTAATTGATATTAAGCTGAATTTCTTTTTCCACCTGGTATGTTCTTGGTCACTGGCATTTTTCACGAGACAAAGCAAATGCTGATCCTCTGTGGGCTGTAAGGAAAAACAGCTGCTAGTCAGAACTGGGGTATTGAGAGCACTTGGCCAACCCAGCTTCATAGAAGGTTTAAGTACCTCCAGACTGTATCACATCTGTCAAAGCAGCAGCAAATACAGCATAAAATGTAGAGCAGGTCCAATTTTTAGTGTGTCAGTAGAATCAGCCTGCAGTTATTTTTAACTGCCTTGGAAAGCTTAGCAGGCAGATACAGTTAATCCTTTAAAGGATTTGCAGGTATTCATAGCTTAATAAGTAAGTATAGTGGATTAAGCCAATAGGAGATTGCAGACAGTCAAAGACAACCTTTACATGCTAACATTAAAAAAATAAAAAGAACAGTTTCTTTTATATAGTTATTTCCTGACAATCACCCTCAATTGTCAGTATGTTCCAGAATCCCATACAATGAAATATGAAATAAAAATGCTAGTCATTAACATCAACATGTGTGATATTTAAATTATCAGGAAGCAGTGAATTCCTGTTGTCTTCTATTTCCACTATTCTATAAGTGCTTTGAAAAGCAGAACTGCATTGTGAAAACAAATTAAAAATACATCTAATTATGTAATAAATAAATAATAAAACTAAAATGGTAACATTCATTTTAGAAGAAAAAGAAGAAAAAAGGCTGAATTATTTTTATAAGTCATATTTTATAATGCTTGTATTCTTTTTCAGGATTCACTGACTTAGGCTCAGCTGACAGATGTGGGCCCTCAATATATTCATAAACAATGTGGAAAAAACCACACATAATAAGACAAAGGAAAAATAAAAACCAGATGACACCAAACTATTAGACTGAGGAAATCTAGGGCTGGCTATGAAAAGCTTTGGAGGTGGTTTAATAATGAATGGGTGATAAAATGCCAGAGGCTACTCAGTGTCATTAAATGCAATGCACATCAAGAAGGGAAGAGAAAATACACATATGTGTGAATATATATATATATATATATATATGGGGTGTTAGTATCACCAGGAAAGAAATCTGAAAACATCTGGTGCTTAAAAGAACAAATATATCTGGGATTTATTTAAAACTTAACAGAGAAAAACATGAAAAATCTGCCCTCTAAACACTCAGGCCACAAGCATATTATGAATACTATATGGAGATTTAGCAATTCCTTTATCAAAAAGGTTATGATAGAATTAGAAAAATATCAGGAGAATAATATTAGAGTGATGTACTAAATAATGAACTCTATTCAAAAGGTGACCTGGTAACAGTTATTCACTAGTTTTCACAACATAAATAGTGGAAGGCATGTGGGGTTCTTATGTAATAAGAAACTAAACTTACTTGCACTAGATATTGTGAGACGCAAACTGTACATGGATCAGAAAAATCGTGACTTCATTGATTCAGCAGTTCTATTCAGTAGGTCAGCAGTAACCATTAAACAAAAGAGTCTCCTAATCACTGAAGGCCTGAAGAGCATGATGGAAAAATCACCGTAAGCATGACTGCCTCTGGACATTTTTTCCATAAGTATCTACTTACTAGGTTAGGTAGACTTTTCATCTGGCTGAATTCAGCAGTTCTCAGGTCCTCATGGCTAGAATGACTGAAATCATGATGTATTTTGTTTGGCATATTGTTTCAAGAAATTTGGCCAAGAGCTCCCTGCTTCTGTCACTACTACAAGAAGAATCACAATAAAACAAAATTGCTTCATTAACTGTCCAACTGAAGCAGCCTAATTCCCTACACATTTTCAAGGTTATATACTCTGGCTACCAGACAAACCACTGCTTTCACACCTCAGTGGTGTTAACTGAAATATGGTTGATATGTATGTAGATAAGAGATACATGAAAGAGGAGAATATTACTGCACAAGGTTATAATTAGGACGCTGCTCTCCCCGGATGATTCAATAGTGGGATGTATTGTTGACTCTGATGCTTGAACAGAATTGTGAGACATGGGAACATAGGACTAGAAGGAAACTCCTGAATCATTACAAGTACTCAACTCTTACACTTGCAGTTGTATCACTTAATTTATTTCAGAAACTGAGCAAAGCCCCTTTTGTAACTACTCAGAAAATGCTGTTTGATTTTTTGAGTCAGTATATTCCTAGCCAGTTGATGCTCTTCTATTAACACAGTTCTTTGGCTTAAGGAGAACTTTACCTCTGTGCTGGTACATTCAGAGAAGGAAATTATATCATCTGTTAATACTCATTTAGCTTGGCTCATTGAGGCAAGGTCTTTTACAGCACATCTCTCCTACCGTGGTATGCAATGTGAAGAGGTCCCAGCTGGCTGTGACACCAGGCCTGTCAGAGCAGACACTGCAGACATTCTACACCCACATGCCCCTGGTCCCAAGAGCTGTGCAGACAGGTTAATACATTCCTTTCAGACCAATGTGCCCTGCCACTGAGACAGCCAGTCTTCCTCAGCATGTATTCAGAGCCAAACTAACGTGGCTGCACAAAGTCACTTCTGGAAATAGTTTAGTGGTGATTAAATCAATTATTTATATACTATACTTCACTGTGTAGTGTAATTACGCTCTCAGTTTCCCCCTGTACATTCCCAATCCCATGGATCACTAAGCTCTTTCTCCTCGCTGACTCTGTACTGATTTGCCTTTCTGAAACGCAGAATCTCCATGGAACAGACTCCAGTTTTTCCATACGTATCAAAGTCTAGGATAATCTTTGACATGCAAACTGAAAAGATTTTCAGCATTTGCACTAAGGGCTTTGCTGGAATGCTGAGCCCTGCAAGTCACTACAATGACTCTGAAGCTTAGTGACAATTCTATTATGAGAATTACATCACTCCTTATCGTTTTGGAAGAAACACCTTAATATAGTAGTGGCAGATAACTGACATCATCACCAAGTTCCTAAGACATGCCTGCGAAGGGAAGAAATGCAGTTGAAACAGTAGGAAATGCAGATTGACAGAACACTTTACAATGGTTCTGCACTTTTTAAGAGCAGTCTATCTTAATTTCCAATCTTTTGCCTGTACAATCCAATTTGCTTAGGTAACTTGGACATCTTTCACTCCTCATGGTTTCTCTGGCTCCGTTCCACACTGCAGATTTGTTGCTGCAAGTCACTCCCACTAGCAGACACCGCACAGAGAACACAGTTTCAGGAAGTCTACCACTTATCTCACTGAGTGCTTCACTGTCATATCAGCACTTTTTCCAAATTCAGGAAGGGCAGGGGTCTAGGGGTGGGAATGAGAGAAACTGCTTAGACAGTGGATTCTATCCTTATACAACCATGACGGAAAGACCAACACAAAGATCAACATAAACCTCAAAAAAAAAAAAAAGATTTGAGGACATAGAAGGGCTCCAAAAGACAGATACCGTACAAAGAGCTTTATCACAGAGCAAATGAAACATTGTATCATGGAATCACTCAGGTGGGAAAAGACCTCCAAGATCATTGAGTTCAACTATTTACCTAATACTGACAATACTAAATCATGTTCCCAAGTGCCACAAGATCAGAAGCTCCAGGACCTTAATGGTCCAGAGTGACTTGGTGGGTGGGAGGATGAGGGACATTCATGTTTTATAGATGAGTAAGAAAGTGGCTGTGAAAGACAAAGTAGCTTAAGAGAAAGGACACACTGAAAAACATTTAAAATGAAGAGTTGTTTTTTGTTTTTTTTTAATGTGTGTCCTTCTGCAGAAATTTAGATTTAGTTATTGAATATCACTACATAATAGCTGTGTATGCACATTTATTCTTATGAAAGCAAGCAAAATACTACTGAAGTTGAATATACAGCCTGTATGTATTTATCCCCATATGAAACCATACAATGTTTACCTTCCGGTGATTTATACTCTAACATACATTTTGAAAACCTGTAACACACATCTCAAATCAGACTATGTAACTAGAAAGATCTGTGTTTGCTTAGCAGAGGAAGCAGGGCAGTGGTACTTCTTCATTCCCTTTCTGCCATCCTAATGTCCTATTGCCACTGTACCTGGCTTCTGTGTTCCTTACACATTGAAGAACTGAATGAATATGAGGAAACAGCCTGCAGGAAGCAGTCTGTGTTTGGCTGTCCTTTCATGCCTATTTTGCTTTGTGGCAATACCTCTGGCTTAATGGGGGTTTCACTTGATTTAGTTCAAGTCAAGGGAAGAATTAACCCCACAATATGACCCATATACCTATTCAACATGGCTTTAACATTCCTGACTAACCTTCTGAAAGCCTGTCCATTGGCAAAACAAAGCAACTGGAGATTTCAGATGCAATTTGGATGTAATGTGATGTGAGCCAGACAAACGCTTCAGCTGATCTCCATCTCTTTCCAAAACATGGAACACTGCATTAATAAATATCAAAACTCATTTCAAAATTTTCAGAGTACTTAGCTAAAATACTTTCATTGTAGTCATACAGTCAAGTGTTAGCAAATTTTCATCGTAAAGATAGATGCTGCATTGGCAGTTTGCAAAGAATTTAGAGAAAATAATTAAACACAGGAAGCCCCAGTGACGTACATAATGCTGGACAACGATAAAGATTTTTGGGGAAAAAAACAAGCCCTGATTTTCTTAGAAAACATGTAATGTTGAATAAATAAAGAATTTTTCTTTCCTTACTTTTCTTTAGTACTTTAACTCACTCAGGTATACTTGCTGTGAATCAGTTTCATAGAATAGTACTTCCTCAAATTAAGATTTGATCCTTTTTCTTTATCTTGTCAAGGTTCTTACCAAAGTGATGAGAAAGTGTTTTTATGGTCCTCAAGATACAAGATTTCTTCCTTTATTATGAGTAAAATAATTTATTAAAAAAATCAGTTAATCCTCAGCTACATCCATAGACCTGCTCCCATCATCCAGAGATTAAGAATCAGAGGCCTTTCCCTCAAGTGTGGCATCACTGAATGAAGGGCAGGGATAAGAACCTGGGAGGGTGCCATGAAGGGGACAAGAACAGAGCATCTGTCTTCTCTCCTCCCACACATTAAAGGGAGAGATGGATATGAAGGGTGTACAGTGCTTATTTTTAACCAGTCAGGCAAAGGGCCATGATGGCCCTGTCCCATTGCTCTGTTTATCTCGAGGACAGCTATAAATGCCTTGTGCTGAGATCTGATGTTCTCCCCTCATGCCATGGTATCCCACTCCCTATTCTTCAAATGTTGCCTTATGTGTTAAAAATGTGTCTCAACAACACATATTCTTGGCACTCTGCAGGCAGCTCTGCTCATTGTTTTTGTGCATCACAACTCTTAATACAACATAAGGATAGATCTTGCCAGGACTTAAATAAAAGCCAAAAAACCCCAAAGTAATCAGGCCTCCTTCCATGCTAAAGAATTCTCATAGTTCTGTTTACTGAATATATTATTTCTCTCATATTAATAACTTTTTTTTTTGGTTTTCTGTTAAGCATCCTAAGACATTTTAAGGCTATTCTAAGGTAGCTCCTCACATAGTCAATTTTTGTTTATTTTCTGTTTGGCCTAGGTTTTTCTACCAATTCACAGAGAGTACAGTACTGTATAATTCACAACTTGATTGTAGTAACCAAAGTCATCCATTTATGCAGTTCTGAGGAGGATGATTTTACCAGGCAATTTTATTGAAAAGAACATCATCCTCACCAAAGATATCATTCACAGCAAGAGCAATATGGAAAAGAATATCCTTCTCCAACATATGAAACTACATACCACTTAGTTAAAATTGTGATTTCTAACCTAACTTTAAGCAAGTACATACATATATATATAGTTTAACTCTGTAGGGCTTCAAAGACTAGACTATGAAAAGGAAAAAAATTAGGAAATCACATGTATCATTCTTATTTTGCAGTAAATGGAAGATATCTTACCTTATTGTTCCTACAGAACAAACACAAAATTCTTCATGGATACCTTGAGACAACATGCATGAAGTAGTTGCCACATCACAAACACAGATCCTTCCTTGTTTTATGTTAGCCTATCCAAGTAGCCATGCCATCTGGCAACCAAAAAGCCACTGTAAAGAAAACCAGCTACTTGAGAAACAGTCATTCAGCTCCCTAAGGTAAAGAACTCACTGAAAAAGCAGAATTGTTAATAAAACACAAGGAAGTATTTGCTGTTCCTTGCCTCTACAGTAATCTGAAAAATTATTCATTCATATATATTTTTTTCTGAATAAACAGTATTGTATTAAAGAACTAAAACAAACAAACCAAACCACCTGAGACATTTATCTCTTGGAAGAAATTATCCTGCTCAAACCAACAGAACAATTGTACTTACACCATGTGGCCCTGAAAGAGCTGAATGTGCCTTGAGAGGGAATATACCTGGTCCACTAATGAAAAACAAGAACACTCAGATCTCAGCAAATCAGACCCTCCATAGTTATCTTCCATAAACTCATAGTAAGCACATGTTTTTAATCCTCACTGAGACATGTAAAGCACATTTAAAATCCCACTGATTTCAAGTAAATTTAAGGATGCACTTAAACATATGTTTAAGATGCTCTGGTAACAAATTTAGATTTAAGAAATCAAACATTGCCTATGTGAAATGAAACAGTTTTTGTCTCCTATGGCAGCAGACCATAATACACTGTTTCACAGTTAGCTAGTCCTGACCATTCTTAAAAATTTAAAGTGCCTTATGTAGAAAATAAATTTAGAAGTGGTATATAGAGCTTATATTACCAACCAGCACAAACCACAACTGGATTTATGCTTGGTCAAATGAAAAATAGAAATGTAATACACAAAACTGGTCAGAGTCTAGTATTTCTTAGGCTTAATCCCAGTAAGGCTCCCAAGACATGTTTGTTTTTTTAAAGTATTATCTAGAGAGTTAAAATTAACAAATTTCAGCATACAAATTGAAATATTAATTCTGTGCTGAAGTAATCATTTGCAAATTATGCTACTGCAACTATTCAGGTAACTCATACAGTATTTTTTTTTAATTTCTTGACAGAATAACTTGAGTGTTGTAAACAAGATCAGAAATTCACTTTCAAGATTACGTTTCAGAAGACTGGCTGTTAACACTGCAAAAGAGACACTTTGAGAAATCATTACCAACTTCATGAATGCTTTCTGCATATTAACTTCCCAAAAATTCCAAACAACAAATGATGACAAATCACATTGTCTTTCCCTTTTAAAGGCTTATTTTTATATTTTTGAATACATTACATCCAAAGGCAACAAAACATCTTTTTGGAAATTTTATGTATTCTGCTTCTTCATTGCTGCCTTTTCAAAGGGAAGCTTTTTGCACAGTAAACTACAAGTATGTATTGTGCACAGTGAACTCTATAATTTTGATTTCAACAATGTCAACATTGCTAAGAAGCTGGTTTTGCCTTAAAGGCAAAAGTCTCTATAAGAACCCAAACTGGATCTTTTAAATGTAATTGAACTATAAGAATTCATTTCCATAGGCTTATAAAAAAAATGCCTTCTAAATTTGCAACCAATTTTATAGTATTTGACCACTGACAATAGATGCAGACAGGAAAGCTGGATCATTGCTTTTTGAATTTCATACACTGCTAACTCAGACAAAAGTTTTTATGTGAAGAGAGACAGGCAACAAGGAGCCCCCTGTTAAGAACAAGCATAGCATAGTCAAAACACATCAGAAAGTGAAAAGGCACAGGATGTGAGAGAGACCTAGACTCCACTCCTGGGATCACCAGCCAGCTGTGCACAGGAGATGTCTTTCCCAGTTGGTGCCTCCTTGGTCAGCACAGCACAGCTGACACAGCTGACTCCCTCCCAGGGTCTGCTCTTTGGCATCACCTCAGGGCAGCTCACAGAGAGATGGAGAGCCTGTTTGTATTAGGAAATTACATTATTTCAGCAGTGAGATGTTGCTGCAGTTTACTGTTGTGCATGTGTGTAGTTAAGCTGTTGGCAGTGCTGTTTCCAGTTAGAATGGTTGTAATGATCATCAGCTGAAAAAAATGTTATTTCTGATCACAGTTGATGGATCTATTTCTTCATTACCTTTGTATTGTACAGTCATACCTATCTCTGCAAGTGTAACAGCCACTAGTATAATATAGTATCAAATCAAAAACTTTGACTTCAAAATTTAAAATGTGATAGTAGGGAAGACCTTATTGTTGATATACTTGGCTAAATAGCTACAGGTTGGGTGAGGTAGGAGAAAATGAGGTTTTAATGTTTGCTAGGCACATCCATTCCTATTCACAGCTACGCTTTGGAAAATGCTACACTGAGTGGTTTTACCCATATATTCACAAAATCATTATTGCAGAGAGAAACTTATTTCACAGGATAGGAAAGGAAAAAACATATTACTGATTTCCCCCCTGCTTTTCTACAGTTGCTTCATTGCAGCTTTCCTAAATTTCCTCTTCCTATCATGCTGTACAGCAAACTCTATGAATAATTTAATTGGGATACTCTATCAGCATGCTGCAGTTGATGAAGGCTTGATTCTCTCAACATTTTTGCTTCCATCCTGATTTTTTTGTAACCTAACCTGAGAGCATGATGACCAAGCATTTCCATTTTCACTTTCTCCTCTGCAGTTCCCGAGACAGAAATAAAATGGAGAGGGGGCAGAATGGGAGGGGAGGGGGAATGCCTTCTGCTGAAGGTAGAAAACACATCACACAAGCACCATCAAAAGTTCACTTGTGACAATCTGGTAAGTGAATCCTCAGGGAATTTTAACTATACACATCCCTTCACAGGTACACAGCAAAATCCTCTACGACAAGAGGATGAGGCAGTGAAAGCCACCTTAAAAAGACTCCAGAATGAAAGGATGTCAGAGGAAGGAGGAGGAGAGAAAGAAAAGAGGTGATCTCTTTTTCACTGTGAATAATCTTTGTTAGCTTGGAAGCTTTCTAGTTTCCAGATTTTTTTTTCCCAGATAGCATTATTAGCCTCTATAACAGTAAAAAAAACAGGAAAATTGCACCATCCTTTCTCAACATCAGTAAGTTCCTAACTCGCCACAAAGCAGCAAGCTTTTATTATCATTCTCCCTTGAAGCCTTTTATTTTCTACTACTTTCACATATTTAAATATTACTTCTGTCATCTACATTCTAATTTCAGAAACGTCCTAGGGTTATATTATTTATATATCTCAATTGAATATAGCTCACATATGAACAATATGATAAGGAACATAATTTAAAATAACAAGCAACATGAAGTACTTTAAAACTCCTTATTTCCAGTGTTTCTGCAAGTGAGGTGTTTAAAACTAATTCAAAAAATTTCAGTGATTTGCCCCTTTTTAATAAAGTTTCACGAAAATCTAAAAAAAACACACCAGGATAAACAGACATCCGTTTCTCATATTATAATAAAAGCAATGTTATCCCTTTTGATTGAAGTAGCTGGCTGAAATTTGGACTCTCAGAAGCTCTTTCTGTTAGGAAATGCATCAAGAATCTGTTTGGGTTCTTTTTGTTTTCCACCTTCTCTTTGAACATGAGCTCAATTTGCAACTGAGCTCATCTGTTTATTGTCACTGAAAAGGCATTCCCATTCCACTCTTTCCAAATTCAAACCTTACCCTTCTTCTTCCCTTACTCTCTGGTCAATTCTGTTCTCCCTCCCTTGTATTGGCTCTGCCTCTTGTCAAACACTTTCCACAAGCTGATTCAGCTCATTAAATTAGCAGTGTTAGTCAGCCATTCCAGTAATCAATTTTTATGTATTTTTGTGATTTAAGGCAGTTGACCCAACAGTGATGAAAACCAGAGATAACAGGTGAAGGCAGTTCACAGCAGGTCATAAGGTGGCCTTGCAGGGTCATGCAGAAAGGGTTTTTTCTTGGCAGCTTTTCAGCAGCATTCCTCTATTCAGTGGTCTCTGTTTATTGGATAATGCATCAACATCAAAACTTTGCCAGTCTTCTGCACCTACATTCTGTCCATATACTCAATATGATCAATAACTGTGCATATATTGTGACAGATACCTCCAATTCAGCACATGGCTACCATAGTTTCACTTATTTTATACCTGAAGTACCTGAAATAAATACACTTTCATGAATGGTGACCTACACATCACAACAGCTGATCCCTATTAAAACAACAAACATGTGAAAGAAACATCTGTATTTCGGGTTGCAAAGCAACAGAGAGACATTGACAGAAACACATGGCTATGAAAAGAACTTTTTTTTTCCTGTTTCAAAATGCTACTTAAAATCAGTGTTTTCCGGGAAAAATAAGTCAAACACAGCAGCAAGAAAAATAAAAGTGCAAACTGCTGGCATACATAGGTCGTACCTTTTCGTATACCCAGAATCTCTGGGAATGTGCATCCTTTGTTTAAAAGGGGGGACACGAAGAAACGTCCCCTGTGTTAGGTTTTCCCTGAATTCCCCTTAAGGGACAAAACTCACCCACTGAACTTCCACGGAATTTACCGCCATTCTTGTGCTACACTAGGAAACATATGAAGAGAGGGTCGGCACACTTGCGAGCTTCTTCTGAACTTCTAGCCAAAGTCGAGAAGTTAAAATGATGGTGCTATCACCCATCTTTTCCGATTTCTCATGCGATACTCGTGAGAGAAGAGCAAGTAACGAGGCCTCTTGCAGAGACCGACCACCCTGTTCTCCCCAAAAGGCACACCTTGCCCCTGAGCCGCACTTACTTCTCTCGGCTGCGCGGTGCTTCCTGCAGGGCCGGCGCTGCCCGGGAGCCCACGGCAACACCTCACACGGGGGAGCGGTACTGAAAGCAGCCGAGCCCAAGGCCGCTCGCTGCTGTGCCGGGGCGGCTCGGGAAGCGGCTGAGGGGAGAGGCCGAGGGGCGAGGC